GGGGGGCAGATGTGGAAGGAGCTTTCCGTGTTGCCCGAGAAACCAGTCTGCCAGCTCAACGTGCAGCTGAGACAAGAGCAGCTTGCCCAGATTAGACGGTGCCTCAGCAAACACATAGAAGTGAGGCAACCGTCTGGGATCTGGGACTCAAGGATTTTAAGAAGAAAAAAAAACAAAAACCAAACCCAGAGCTAGGATGAGACAGAGAGCCCAAACACTTCACTTTCTTCAGCCCCTGGGCTGGTTTCCACCAACCTGCTCAGTCATAGAGTGTCATCCCCTATGCAGGCACGGAGGGGTGATGTGAATAGATTTGCTCAGGTGTTGGTTTCACAGTGAAACAAAAATGAACCAAAGGAAAATTACTGGAAGGCGAGTACCCTGCAGGCCACCATGCGTGGGGGGGTGGAACTTAGCCGTGTTCAATGCAGGCAGTATCCAGTAGAAGGGCCTTGAGCATAACTAACACCCCTCCCTTTCTGGGAAGCTGCATTTAGTCAGTACTCCAACTCATTTTTTGTCACATGCTGCTTCTCCTTTACAACTTCAGTGAAGTAGCTGGGCCCAGACTAGGGAATAACCACAAGGAACATTTGCCATGATGGGTATCCTAGACCCGGCTGTGGTAACATATTCACAATAAAGTAATTCACGTGCATAATTTCTTTCCAGTTCACACCCTCACCAGGAAGCCCATGTCTTGGCATGATAATGTAGAAGAGATGGCAGATGGTAAGAAATCTCCAAACAGCTTGTGATAATTGCACAAGAAAATTAGTAATAAATAAGATTTTAAAATTCCAATTAGTCTAGAAGATGACATACGTGCAAACACCCCTGTGATAATACAGGGAAGTTAAACTCATCCACTATTTTTGTTAAATGTAAGGCAATTTCTTCTTCTACTTCAGGGGCCTTTTCCAATACTTTTCATTATCAAGCCTGAATTTGTGCAGTTATGCTTTTTTGTTGTTGTTGTTTTAGTTATACCATAAAATTCTGCTTAAGAATCTAAATCTCTTACAGGGGAAAACAAAAAGCATCTAGAAACATGTTTTATACATGCATATTGCCTGTCACAGCAGGTTCTATCTAGCCACTGCATATTGGTAAACTGCTGAAACATCTGCTGAGTCTCGTGGTAGAGCAGTAATAACAGGAACCCTTTTAGCAACTGCTCCTGCATCTCTAATATGCCAATTTTGTCTAAAAACATTCATGGTCAGTTAAGGTTGGCCTGCTGTAGTCAAGGATTGGGGAAGAGAAAGGTGGGGGGCAGAAAAAAGACAAACCTACAGGGAAAGGCAGCAGGTTTCAGGCAACTGAGAAAGATGACAGCTAACATGGGGCACTGGTTGATACTAGATGTGGTGGTATAAGAAAAGGAAGATGCTGCAATAAAGTAGATGGGGATGACAGAATTAACAGGACGGCACAGGCAGGCAAGTCTTGACACTTCATCAGGATAAATTTGAGTAGAAAAGTTGCCCTGCATTCATAGATCATTCACAGAAGCACAGGTTGTAACAACCCTTGGTTTTCTTGTTATTGCTGGGACAGCATTAGGATATCCTATTCTAGCATATATCTACTGGTTTATAAGGATACTTTCTTCCATTTTTTATTTGTGTCTCTTAATTCAACAGAAAAGTTTCTGAATCTGATTCACCATGCAGCACTGGAGCCAACAAAGAAGTATTCAGAGCCACAAACTGAGAGCCAAGAAATTGGGTGGTACCCACCATTGGTGAGTAGGGTGCTTAAGGACACAAAATTTTGCAGGATTTAGAGGTTCAGCCCATCACACTGAAAGATATTCATGCCTGAAAATAATCTGTGACATGGAAAAGAATGACTAGGAATGAGCAGAGCTGTTAATGAACAAGAATTTTCTAAAATTTACACCTAAGAAGACTCCTCACAACAGCATAGGCTTGTGAACACAGGAACAGACTTCCCCGGACAAACCTGGATGCAAAATGACAGTTGATCCCAAGCATATTGCCAAATGCCACATATGTAGTCATGGCTGTTTATTAACGCCATGAGAAATGGCATCATGAGCAATGTGAAGTGACATACATAACTACTGTGAAAAGAAATGGGCTGCTGCACAGTGTCTTTCAAACAAACTGCAAGCAGAATGATAAAATTAATCATCAGCTAAGTAAACCTGAGGCCGAATACACCAGTGAGGATTCATCTGGGGTAGTGTGAATAAACAGGAGGAAAAGAAATCTCATTAACAAGGCAAGACATCAGTCATATCTGACAAATGAACAGCTGTGACAATGACTGACTTGGAAGATTGAGTGTTCTGAGAAAGGCAAATGAGAGCTTGATTAATTTTGGCCTGTTACAAAGAAAACTTAAGATAAATAAGAAAACAAGACAGTCTTCTGCAACTTTTCACATTACATTTCAGTTACTCATAACAAGCCTAGAGCCCAGCAGGGCCTTATGCTGTTAAGATACTGCTGGTAGGACTAGGGTGGAACAAAGAGGCAATTAAATTTGTGTGAAGGGAAGCGAGTAACATTTGTAGAGTCAGGACTCACCGCGCTGCTTCACACGCTAAATTTTCCTTTTTCACCAGTGAACAGTTTATTCTCAAAAAAGTGGTACCCTCCTCATTTTTCATTTGGGCATTTCTCAGCAGCAAGAACACTGTGCATCACTCCTCTCAGGAGGGACTACTACTACTGATTCTAGCAGAAGCATATGACCATTGACCATTTTTCATTCCCAGATTCAGACAGACCGCACCGACTGCAGACTCTACTTCCCACGCCGGAAAACTGAGGTCACTAAATAAACGGCTGCTGTGGGGCCCGGGGAGGAGCAGCCCAACAACCTCCAACCACCTGCAGTAGTGGAGTGGTCAAGCCACACAACTTAGACAGAAGTAGCTAATGGCATCTAATGTGTTAGGCCCTACCTGTTGTTAGGTGAGTCTGGCAGATTAATTTCTGGCAAGAGAAGACAGCAAGAAAAGGGAAGAGAGAACATCCGTCTGTCCAGATTTGCAGCCTGACAATAGTTACAGAAATAAATCTACTTGTAAGATTGCTGCATTTGTCTCATTGCTGTTTCCAAAGGCATCTATAAGAATAGTCTGAAAACCACTTTAACTTCTTAGTAGGCTTCAGAATTTTTATTCTAACACCAGCAAGATGACCCAGAACTCAAGTTCACCACATACATGTCAACAGTAGCTGTGGAAAAAGCTGTCAGTATAAAGGGAACAAAGGGCAGGCTTCAGCCACCATTCATAACACAACTAAACATGAATTAGACACAGTTCTCTGCAAACCATTTAATGCATTCACACACCAAAGGTTTCAGTAGAAAACAACCTTTCAACAAAACAGAAAGCAAGAAGAAATTAGTGATAAGGCACTAGTTTCCACTGACTTTTTTTTTCTTGCCACTTGGATGCATCCAGCTTGCTCCACAGAAAGATGTGCAGAAACATATCTTGGAACACAGAGACATAAGAGCCCCACTGGGGAGCACAGTCCTCTTAGCGTGCTCGGTTCTTCATTTTCTGCCTTGCTCTCTTTCCAGGTCTCTTCTGGAAAAAAAAAAAAAAGACAAATTCAGATCTTTATTTTTCCTGTTTGCTGTATTTGTTCCAGCTTCACAGCCTGGAGATGACACCAAGGAGAGGATACTTGTCAGCACCTCTGCAGAGGGAGGTTTTGGGACAGAGGTAGCAACAAACAGTATTTGGTAACTCCCCCACTGACTTCCCCACTCAGACACCAAACGACTGTCCTCAACTTCATCTGCAACTGAATTATACCCAGGTCCCAAAGATAGACATCATCACTTCTAGATGCTGGAGGCACCCATCGTGTACTCAGCTCTCCCGCCCAGGCTAGGGCTGGCTTCCTAGCCAACAAGGATCATTTGCATGAAACATTTTACTTACATTGAGGGCTTTTTTTCCTCCTTTTCCTGGGCCTTTGTTGTGAGCCACTTTCGACCGGAAGCTGGATACATCATTAAAACTCTCCTTTGTGTTCCACTTTGAGCCCTTCTTCTTTCCACCAAAACCAAACTTCTGATTCTTGTATCGTCTTTTGGCATTTGGTCTGAAAAACAACCAAACATCAGCATTGCCTACATTCTTTCCTCAGGAACCTCTCAAGAGGGCACATGTATCTGCTGGTGGATTCCCATCAGCCACCATAAGCCTTTCCACTCCTATTGAAGTGGCAGAAATCAGCACATTTCAGTCTCCATTCCATTCTGGCCACAGCTTTCCTCCTCTCTAGAGACAGAAAGCCCTTTTTCTTTTTAATGAACATCAATCAGAAGAGCTGTCTCATTCCACAAAATGATCCCCTAAAAGACTTTAAAAATCAGATTCTGCATTTAGATATCTTTTCTTTCCTGGTCTCACCCCTTCTTTATCCGTTGACTTGCACTGCCTTTTTTATTCCCCTGGGATGTTGTCTGTTCTTCATCTAAAAAGTCCAGCTTGTCAGAGAGACCTGCAAGTGCAAAGACAACAGTTGCTCAGCTACCACCACAGAAAATAGGAATTTTCAGTCTAAGCAATAGCAACAAGTCACTCTCACTGAAGAGCAGCTACTTAGGAAGATTTTCACTGCTGCTAGCATGTGACTGCACAGCAGCAGCTTTCCAAGCTCACTGCCCAGCACAACAGGTTAACATCACACATGACGCTGCCTTACATTGCTCACACATCGCTATTCCCACCACACATTTGCTCTCTTGGACAATTGTACCTTTCTGGTATTTCTTGACTGCATTCAACATATTTTTTTTCTCCTTTTGTCTCCTCTGCAGAATCTCAGTTTGCACCTGAGATTAGAAGCAGAATATTAGGGTTGCTCCTTTGTAGTGTCCCATACAAAAACAAACCAACCACAAAAAAGGGAAGATATCCCATTTTTTCCTCTGTCTTCCTTCAAAGCATCTAGACAGACAACTAGAGCAATTCCATATATTTCAGCCAGCCTCCTGTGGTCTTACTTTCTAAGCTCCTCACTCAGGCTCTAGATTCTTGTCATAGATAGGACCCTTCTGTGGCTCCTCCTCACCTTCTTGCCATATTTTCTCATTGCACGGAGCTGTTTTGCCTTCTCAGACCTCTCCATTGCTTCCTGTTTACTCTTGAGCTTCTGTCGAATCTTATTAGGGGATAGAAAAAATAAAATGTATCAATAACACATAAGAAAAGAGGAGAATTTTATGACTGCTGTGCAGTCAATAAAATGAAATCAATAATTACATGAACTCTCAGTGAGTGTAAAAAATAAAACATCTCTCAATCAGATGCTTTTTAAGGTATAAAATTCTTTCAACTAAAGGCTGGATCAGCTGTTACAGAAACTCCTCAACCGATCTGTAGCCAAAATCTGGTTAAAAAGACTAAACTCACACAGAGACAAGACAAAACTATAACGAGTAAAGCATTGAAGAAGAGTCAACAGCCCCTCTGTGCCATAGAAAACATCTTTTTCATTCCTTCCTTTTCCACAAGTATTTATAAGCATGACACATTGCATAGATTTCCACACAGAACTTCTGGACTCAGCCTGTGACTGCACTAAGAGGTAAGAACTCTGTTTTTCAAACAAAAGCCAGAAAATAACCTAACAGCAATGTGCACAATTGACTTAAGCCTCAGCACAACTAATACCCTCCATCCTCTCTACAAAGATTCTATCAGTCATCAAAACAGAGAACAAGTCATTAATGAACCTCCAAATTAGACTCCAGCTCATATTTAACTCATATAATGTAGCCTTTTTCCAAAACTAGGACAAAAATTAGGGTTCAACTTTGAACAAAGACCACAATCAAGAAGAAAGTTTGTGAAATTCTGATTTGCTACACAAGTCTGACTTACTACTCATGACAGATTAATTCAGTAACACATTATTTAAAATAACAGAGAACCAAAACACACTGGGTATAAACAAAGAGTGATACTTAAATAGGAAAAAAACATCATGGTAATGCCACTGTTGGCTGAAAGTCTCAGGACAAAATATAAGCACAGCCAACTTTACAAACACTGTCACACATTCGGTCCCAATCGTTTACACTCACTCCATTCAAAACAAAACATAAACCACACTCTTCTACTTTACATTCCAGCCTGTTACAGATTCCCCACATTGCATTAAAATACTTAAACAGGAAGAAATTTCCTGCCACAAAATTTCAAATGCAAACACTGTCACAGGCATTTCTCAAAGGGACGAAGGTAAGTACATACACATCACACCTCAGGGTTAATCCCTGACACAGGCTAAAACCAACACACAGGACAGGAAAGAAAACTATTGTTTGCTGCACGTACCTTCTGCATCTGTTGGTCTGATTTGGCCATCTCTGCAAAGTAATCATCTGGCCTTCGAGTAGGAACGTTCAGCTTGCGCAGCTTGGGGAGGGCGTCCAGGACAGCAGCCTGAGCCTGCCTGTAGCTGGGGAGAGAGCAGAGCACCAGCTCTGCCATGGGCTGTGGGGCACCTCACAGCACCAGCAGCAAAGGGACCAGATACTGACAAGCTCTGACCTAACATCATACCAACATGCCCTGCCCTACTGCATCTCTACTGCTCAAAAGCAATTTATGCACCAGTACAATATTAATGTTTGTATCTTGCACATATTCATTTAGCTGCTTTCCAGGCACAGTTTCATGTGTTGGATTATAAAAGGCAAAGCAACAGAAGAGGGCTGTAATAACAACAAAATAAATCCACAAAGAAAAATCAATATCCTGTGTTAAAGCCATAGTGCTGCAACCAAGGAACTTCTAAAATAAACTTTTCAACAAAGGATGGGAGTCTGCTGCAAGAAGGGGAATTATTTCCAGTCACAAGGCAAGTTAAACATACTAGCATTAATTTTTAGTTATTTTGGAAATCATTTGGAGCCATCATATTGTAAAAAATACATGATCCAAGAGTGACATGATACCAGCAGCCTGCAGCACACCTGTATGATTCCAAGCACACAGCAGTATGTTGACACCCTAAAAGAAATCCCTGTTTTAGACACTTACAAGCTCATTTCTCTCTGGAAATCGTTCTCAGCGTCAACAGCATCCTTGTCAGAAGCACTCTGGGAAACGGAGTCCACGGCCAGGCCCAACGTCACATCCAGCCTTTCTATCCAAGCCAGCTGCTTTCTGAATTCGGCCAGGCACTGCTTCAGACCGTTCTGGGAAGGAAGCACAGCTCTGCACACCGCTACACAGAACCAGCCCCCCAGGGCTGAACATCCAAGTCACACCAGGGGTTGCTCCTCCAAAACCGGGCCCTGTCCTGCCCCAACACACCCGCGGCCCCGCGGGGGCTCCTCTGGCCCGCAGCCTGGGCCGGCAGGATCCCGCCCTGCCCCGAGAAAGCCACGCTCACCGTGTCGTTGCGTCGCTTCGGCCGCTCCTCCAGCACCACGTTGAGCCCCGGCTTCAGCTCGCCCCTGGAGAAGGCCTCCTGGAGCTGCGGGGAGAGCAGGCTCAGGCCGCGCCGCCGGCCCGGGCTGCG